TGGCTTTTTATTCTATTTTATTTTTTGCCTGTACTGGGGTCTTCATTGCTGTGTGCAGCTTTCTCTAGTTGCAGCAAGTGGGGCTAATATCTAGTTGCAGTGCACAAGCTTCTCATTGTGGTGGCTTCTTCTATTGTAGAACATGGGCTCTAGAGCATATGGACTTCAGTAGTTTTGGTTCACAGTCTTTATTTATTTACTTGGCTATGATGGATCTTAGCTGCAGCATGTAGGGTCTTAAGTTGTGGCATGAAAACTCTTGTAGAATTTAGTTCCCTGACCAGGGATTGAACCACTGCCCACCACATTGGAAGCAGGGAGTCTTCATCACTGGACCACCAGGGAAGTCGTGTGTAGACATAACAATGGGCATGCTGACCGGTGTGAGATGATACGTCATTGTAGTTTTGATTTGCATTTTGCTAATAATTAGTGATATTGGGCATCTTTTCACACTCACATGCCTCTCACGTGCCTGTTGGCAATCAAAACAATTTTTTAATCAGGTAAAATGTACATAGAGTTAAACGTGCACGTCTTAAATTAACTGGTTGATGAATTTTTTTGGGTACATCAGTGTAACCAACACCCCAATCAAGTTATATGCCATTTGCAGTTTGTTTTTTTAATTAAAATATCATTCATACATCTTCCTTTATGGGTTAGTATAAGTTTTTGCCCAGTATTTTAGAGGAAGGAGCCAGAGTTTAGTTTAGTTTAGCCAGACTATCATTGAAGAGCATGGCTTTAGAGTCATGTAGATTTAGGATCAATTTTTGCTCTGACACATAGCTCAGTATAAGGTGACTTTTAGCTCTCTAAGTATTAATTTTTTCATCTTTAAAATGGGGATGTTACCTAGCTCAAAAAAGTGTCTCAAGAATTGAGTCCCTGCAACACCTAAGAGCCCTTATAAATCATTTTTTTAAAATGAAGAAGCCACTAGGAAAACCAACAAAAGATATGAACACTCTCTTAACAAAAGAAAATAGTCATTTGTAGAGTCAATAAACCTATTAAAAGCTGTCCAGCCTCACAGATGATCAAACAGATGCAAGTCAGGCAAACCGATGCAGAGCAACAATGAGAATTTTTCAGCTCTCAGACTGGCAGGGATTAAAAAGGTACATAATGTGTCATGTTGGCAAGGGTTTAAGAGGTAGGCCCTTGACAGTGCATTGGCTCTGTATACTTGAAGGATAATTTGGCCTTATCTGTTAACACTGTTAAGTGGTCACACCCTTTATCCCAGTAGTTATCCTTTTGCCATTTATTCTGCACATGTTCAGTTGCTAAGTCATGTCTGACTCTTTGCAACCCCTTGGACTGCAGCACGCCAGGCTTCCCTGTCCATCATTATCTCCTGGAATTTGCCCAAACTCATGTCCATTGTGTAGATGAGGCCATCCAACCATCTCATTCTCTGTCGTCCCCTTCTCCTCCTGCCTTCCATCTTTCCCAGCATCAAGGTCTTTTCTAGTGAGTCAACTCTTCACATCATGTGGCCAAAGGATTGGAGCTTTAGCTTCCACATCAGTCCTTCCAGTGAATCCTCAGGACTGATTTCCTTTAGGATAGACTGGTTGGATCTCTTTGGTGTCCAAGGGACTCTTAAGAGTCTTCTCCAGCACCACAGTGCAAAAGCATCAGTATGTCGTTGCTCAGCCTTCTTTATGGTCCACCTCTCACATCCATACATGACTACTGGAAAAACCATAGCTTTGTCTATACAGACTTTTGTCAGCAGAGAAATGTCTTTGCTTATGTGCCTGTACAAATGGGCAAAGTATATGTTTTGTTGCAAAATCCATCAAAGCATAAGCAACCCAAATGTTCAATAGAGCAAATTAGTTACGACTCACATTTGCAATGAGATGTTATGCAGTTAATGAAAGGAATGAGGAAGCTCTAACATGACATGTAAAGTTTTCACAATAAATTGTATAATGAAAAAAAAATTTAAACAGCATCTAGCCTCTCAGATTCCTTTCCATGGGAAAAGTGTTCTGATTTAGCAATACTGCAGTTCACTGATGCCTGTGGTTAATGATCACAGGTAAGTCAGGGACATTTTTGTTAGGTGCAACAAGCAATTTTTCCAGCAGTTAAGCTTCCTCGGACCATGCTATTCTGAGATGTTCCATGGTGGTGTACACGCCTGGGGGCAGGTGTGCCACCATACTTGTTATGGTTAAAAACTTCTTAGAGGCTAGAATTGGAAACAGCACATAGTCATTAATGGAATGGTAAGTCGGTTCTGCTTTTAGGTCTATTGAGAAGGAGGCCTGTATGTTAGTTAGGTGCTCTGACATTCATTTATTCATTCAACAAACATTTCTTGAACAGCGGCTATGCATCAAACTTTGCCCTTGGGGCTGGAGTTACAACCCTCATGTAAGGACATTACTCGAAGTACAGCTGAGGATATAATAATAAAAGAGAGCAACCTGCATTGTCACTATAATAATGATAAAGAGGAACCCTTGACAGCATCAGAAAGAAGTTCTCTGAGAGCAGGGGCTGAATTGTTCACAGCCTCTGCATTCACAGCACTCTAGTCCGTGCTTGGCACACAGCTGGTTAGTATCTAGAATTTGCTAAATGAATGAGTGAGTGAACAAATGAATTGATAGAATCAGGGTTCTAACAAATAACAGAAGAGGGACTTCCCTGGTGGTACAGTGGATAAGAATCCACTTGCTAATACAAGGGACACAGGTTTGATCCCTGGTCTGGGAAGAGTCCACGTGCCGCGGAGCAACGAAGCCTGTGCACCAGGACTACTGAACCTGTGTGCCTAGAGCCCGGGCTCCACAACAAGAGAAGCGACCGCAATGATAAGCCTGCACCCTGCCACGAGGAGTAGCCCCCGTCTCGCCGCAACTGGAGAAGGCCCGCACGCAGCCACCAAGACCTGCTGCGACCAAAAATAAATACATTTAAAAAAAAATAACAGAAGACACACTCTGATTTTGAGGAAAGATTATTCATGAAGGGGCATGTGAGGTGTGAGGACTGTTGGAGAAGCACATGGAATGGTACAGAAACCCAGGTAGAAGGACAGATGTTGTCCCACCTGTAGGCTGTGGGAGGCGAGAGGAGTTGGGTTACTGGAACTGGGAGAGAACCAGATTCACATCCCCCCGTCTCCTATTGAGTCTCCTGGGGAGTCAGAGGGCAGGGAGCCTGAGTGTCTCCAGCAGGCTGCACATCTGAAGGTATTTATCACACACTCCCAGGGGCCTGGTTCTTTACATGCACTGCTCCAAACTCTGTGAGAGGAGGGGTGTCATCGCTATGTTGCCGAGGAAACGGGATGAGATTCGCTCGGTCCCTTGCCCCAGCTATCATTAGGAGGAGGCAGAACTACTGTCCTAAAAAAGTGGCAACATCTGTGGAGATTTTAAACCCAGGTGGCCCAGAGCTGTGGTGCCCAGACAGACTGGATAGTTGGGAGGCAAATTATTAATACTACTCTGGGCCACAGTCTCCCCATCTGGAAAAGGGAATGATACCCATCTTCGAGAATTCTTGTGATGATTCAATAACAGTGATATAGAAATTGGCACGTGGTCAACAAAAGAAAATGTTGACCTGCGAAGGGTGTGAAGCATGGTATTGGGTGGGAGAGTGTAGTTGTTCATTTTTGGTTTAATTACTTTATACTTGTATTCATCGGTTTTTTGGCCCCAAACAGATAGTAGTTAGATAAAAAAGCAAGTTGCTTTCCCCACTACTATGTTCTTTTCTTCCCTCCCTCCCCTCTCTCTCTTCCTTTCGGTGTCTTCTGCCTCAGGTTTGTGTGTTGGACCCTAAGGCCCCTGAGTCATCCTCTGAGTGGCCACATGGCCAGTGCCTGCCACAGCCGGGGAGTCCGTCCTCCACTTGGAATTCAGGGACTTCTTCCTCCTCCCTGCCAACAGCCGCTCCCTCCTGGGAGCCAGGAGAGAGGGCCTGAGGCAAAGATGTGGATCGTTGGAGACTTTGAAGTGATCGGCCTGCTTCCTCCTGCAATTCTAACTGATGGGCTTCCAGGAGCGGACACTCTTTGCCATTTATTCTATTAATATTTATAATAATTCCTCAAAATGGATATCATCCCATTTTACAAAGAAGGGAGCTATGGCTCACAGAGATTAAATAAATTTGGCCAAAAATCATACATGTGACAGAGCCACAGAAAATGTGAATGCCTCTGAATCTCCTACTTTCTTATCCTTTCTTAAACTTTCTGGAGCGTTCAGTGTGTTTTCTGAAGACTGAAGGAGCTTTAATTTTCTAATTACAAAAGCAATTTGTTGTTGTTCAGTCGCTAAGTCGTGTTTGATTCTTTTCTGACCCTATGGATTACAGCCCACCGTGCTCCTCTGTTCATGGATTTTTCCAGGCAAGAATACTGGAGTGGGCTGCCATTTTCTTCTCAAGGGGATCTTCCTGACCCAAGGATCAAACCTACCTCTCCTGCATTGGCTGGCAGGTTCTTTACTACTGAGCCACCAGTGAAGCCCTATAAAAGCAATACTGGATTATAATAGAAAATATGTAAAGTAGGAAGGACATTTTCACATGGCTGCAGCCATATGTCTGTATAAGTTTGCAGTTTCTTTTTCATGTAACATTAAAATACATGCCTTGTTCCACAGTCTTAGAAATTCTTTGTAAACCTTACTTTCAGTGGCTGTTAATAATCCCTCAGCTGGGTATACTATCATTTACTTAAACAATCATCTATTGTTAGGCCATTCGGTGCTTTCCAGTTCCTAGCTGTCAGCAACATTGCTGCAAAGAGCATCTTTTTATTCAGAAAGCTTTTTCTGTTTGTCCTATTTCCTTAAGATGGTTTCTCAGAAGTGGAAATACTGGTTCAATTACCAGTTCGCGTTTTATGTCTCTTCGTACATATTGCCAAGTTGTTTCCCAAAGGGTGGCCCCAGCAGAGTGGGAGAGCGTTCTGTGGGTAGTTTTCTATTCTTAACTGGCTTTGCATTCCTTCCCCAAAGTCTCATAAGGAGAATGGCCCAGAGCGTGGTGGAAGTGATGGAAGACGCCAAGGGGAAGGTCCAGGAGAACCTTCTGGCCAACGGAGGTAGGTCCCTGAAGCGTGCTTATGGTGTTCCTTCCCCAGCTCATTCTAGCCCATTCGTGGTCCCAGCTGTGGCCACACAGAAGGGCTGAAATGACACGGCGCCACGGAGGCGCCAAACTGACAGGCCGGGCAGAGGCTGTGCACGCCACTTAGAGCACAGTGGCAGTGCTGTTTGGAAGACTCCAATCTCCCTTATAATCCTTCTGTCTCATTTCTAAAGCACCTGGCATTTCTTACCTGTAGCTGAACTCCTCAGTGAAATTTGAGATGAAAATGGATTCAGTGGGGTTTAGGGGTTAGTTGGCTCACCCACCTTCTCTGTCAGCCTCCCTTCTATCCCCACACCCTAACCGATTTAATCCTATCCCCAGAGGAGGCTGGAATGCCTCAAACTGAATTCTTCAGCTGTGCCCACTAATTAGATGAAGGTTAGACCAAAAACACTTTGTGTAGCGGGTTTGCATTTGGAATTTCTGTCTCTTACACTGATAGGATAAGCCTGTAGATTCCAAGGATGTTTTTGTCCATGTATTAGGGTACAGACAATTTGAGTGCCCTTAAAATGTGTAAGACAAAAACTCTGAGTCTTTGGGAACCTTAGAATTAGGTGTTTCGATATCTGTAGAGATAATTAAACCCATGGCTCTATGCATCAGTATACTGAAAATGAAAGCATATATTCTATATTAATATGTCATTTAGTACATATCATTAATATTATACATTATTATACATATATAATATTATGCAATATTACAATATTATACATTATTACACATATATAATATTTAAAAGATATAGATATTATGAATTTATTACATATATATTCATGTTTTTTCCCCTTGGGACCTTTTTTTTTGGGTGCCACATGGTGTGCAGGATCTTAGTTCCCCAACCAGGAATTGAACCTGTGCCCCCTGCAGTGGAAGGGCAGAGTCCTATCCACTGGACCATTAGGGACCTCCCATCGGGGAACCTTGGAAACTGTTACATTCACTTGATTAAATTGATAAAGGGAAATGCTCGTATTCCCAAATCAGAACTTAGTTTTGTATGTTACTGCAGTCTAATGACTCCACCCTCTTACGTTGCAGGTTTGAAAGAAAAAATGAAGTGTTTAAAGAGTAGGTTGTGTGTCGTTTGCTGTGCGTGTGACGCCTGCATGCCCCTGGGAAGGGGGAATCTCAGTCTGGTTGTAGGGATACAGTGACCAGGTGACGACGGATTTCTTGAGTGACAGCCTCGTGGCTTGGTCACAGTGTCCATATAACACAGACAGCAACTGCTTCTTCCCTTCCCCCTCTTCCTTGCGTCTCCCCTGCTTCCCCCAGCAGCACCGCATGCCTCCTGGAGTTCAGTATCGACTTTGGCATCTTTTTGCTTGTGGTTTGCTTCTTGCCTTGATGGCCATCCCCAGCGTCATCCTGCCTGCGGGGGCTGGCTGTGGGGTGGACCCTGACATCCTTAAATGCCAGGCTTAGCTTTGTGTGGCCTCGATGGGGGTCTCTCATACACTCTTCAAGCCTCTCCTAGGAGAGCCTCTGTGCTCAAACAGGCCATTTCTGGTTTCCCCATTAGGAGGTGTCATTTGCATTGGTTTTTCTCCAACCTGCTTAGACTGGTGGAATTAAAGCCAGCAAATCCCATTATGTAGGACAAATACAAATCTTGGCAGACCAGAAGTCACCAAAATGCCTTCCCAATTGCAATCTGTTAATTTCACTGAGATTCCTCGCCTGTGTTTTGTTGAGTTGATGAATTGCTCTTATTTCCCAGCAGGTAACTCAGAGGGCCTTAGACGGAAATGCTGACTTAGGACTACTTTTCTATCTAAAAAACCTGGTCTTGAGAATTCGAGAACTGACTCATTTGAAAAGACCCTGATGCTGGGAAAGATCGAAAGCAGGAGAAGGGGATGGCAGAGGATGAGATGGTTGGATGGCATCACCGACTCAATGGACATGAGTTTGAGTAAACTCTGGGAGTTGGTGATGAACAGGGAGGCCTGGGGTGCTGCAGTCCATGGGGTCGCAAAGAGTAGGACACTACTAAGTGACTGAACTGAACTGAGGATTCGAGAATTTGAGCTCACTTGACAATAATGCTCAGAAAGCTTACATTCTATTCAAAATTCACGTCAGTTAAAATTAGGTGTCATTATTACATCGTATCCATCCCCAGTTTCCTCTCAGGAGGAGAGAATTCAGTGATATTTGTTTCCATCTTTTTCATTATCTCTAGGCCTCCTGGGAGTCAGGTCCCCATGACTTTCCAAACCTAGACCTTCCAAAGCTGGTCCAGTACATGTGCACACAAAAGTCAAGGACCCTAGGGCAGCCTTCATGGCCTGCTGTTGAACATTCATCATGCACAGCAGCGCAGTAAAGTCTCTGAAAAGTACTGCAGTCAAGAAACCTTTGAGACAGTTTGGTTCAGGCTTTCCTGATAGTCTGTCAGCAATGCAGGAGACCCGGGGTGGAGCCCTGGGTCAGAAAGATCGCCTGGAAAAGGGAATGGCAACCCACTCCAGTATTCTTGCCTGGAGAATCCCATGGACAGAGGAGCCTGGTGGGCTACAGTCCATGGAGTGGCAAAGAATCAGACACAACTGAGCGACTAACACTTTCAACTTTGTTGATATTATTCGGATGGACGAGGAGCTATTTTTCTTCTAGAGAGCACCCAGGGAGCTAGTGATAGAATTAACTGCAGGAACTCAGGGTTTCACCAGCAGGTGGGATTTTAATCTGATCTCTGAGGTTACCCCCCAGGTCTTCTGGGCTATGTTTCCTGGAGGACCAGGGGCCCCGGCCTTGTAACAGTCAGGCTTGGCCCTTTGCGACCTTGGTAGGTCACTTCCCTGGGTCTTAGTTTTCTTGCCTCTATGGACTTAATCCCTTTACGGTTCTCTGCTTTGCCTGGGCACCTTTTGTTTCCGTCTATTCTTTGCTTCTTGCTGCGTTTGAAGCAGGAAGGACACAGACGTGTGTGATTGCAGCAGAGCTGAGCAAACATGCCCTGGTCTGGCCGGGGCCCTGGAAGGTTCAGGGTTGGAACCACCTGATGGTCTGTCTGGCTGTCTGGCCTCCGTTGGTGTGGTCACCGGTCCTTTGTTCCGCTGCTGCCAGGAAGGCTTTGTTTGGGTTCTTGAATGACACCACTATTGCTCGAGGGCAACCGTCTGTGTGTTTTGAGTGTTTTGATTCGAAGTGAGCCTGCCTGGGTCATGGTCTGACCTCACAGGCCTTCGATCCAAGCACACACTGCTTCCTGGAGACTAGGCTTCCGGGATTTCAGCCCGGGGACAGGAGGGGAGGGGAACCTGTCTTTACAAGGAAGCAGAAAGGAGGCTGTGGCTTGGGAGCACCCAGAGGTCCTGGGGCTGCTGCTTCCTAAGACTGAGGACCGTTCTCAGACCACATTCTCACCAAAGGCGATGTGCAAGGGGCAAGGTCCTCGTCTACGTGATCCGGACGAGGATCACATGATCCGTGATCCGTGTCTGGAACTGGTGGTACTGACTGGGGAGAGGGGATGTCAGAGGAGGAAGTCACAGTCACAACTTGGAGGTCTCTGGAGCCTTCTGCAGGGAGCTCGTCACAGTCTCCTTATCTCACCTCCTCCTTCATCAGACACTCACGCTCGGCCATTGAGCGCCAGACACTGTGCTGTTCTGGGCATCCGGAGATGATCACCCTCCAGGAGCTCGCAGTCTGGGGATCAGACCTGCAGCACCTCATGTACTGTCATGGAAACCAAGGGCTTGGGAGCCTTCACAAGGAAAGGGGCTGAGTCGTAGAGGAATTATAGGCGTTCTAGTGGAAAGGAGGATGCATTCACTCTCTTTGGTCTGAATGCTGGAAAGCCTGGAGTTAGTAAAAAATGCATGGAGACAAAAGCTTGTCTGAAAGGTACCTCTCCTAAGCAACCTGGCTGGTGTTAGGACAGTAATCAGGGTTATTAGGAAGATTCTCGTATGAAGCGCTGGCCCCTGGCTGTACACTGTCACGGAGCTCTGGGGACACAGAGATAGTCAACTGCCCTCAAGGAGCCTGAAAGAGCAGGGGAGTCAACCATGGTTGTGTAGCATCGTTAGTGTGAAGGAGTTGGCCAGCGTCCACAGGCTCTGGCCGGCAAGGGGAGGGAGGGTTGGGCAGGTTTTCAGGAGTTGGTCTCCATCCTGATGTTCAGGACAAGGGCAGCTGTGAGAGGGAGAGTGAACAGCTGGGGGTGGCTTGGCTTGGGTGGTGTGGTGTGCCCACGGAGTCTGGAGGGGGCAGTGGTGGGGATCGCTAGAGCACACATCTTCCTGGCATCGGCCTGGGGGTGATGTTCCCTGATCTGTTGCGGGGTGAGGTATTGGCGGCGCCTACCAGGCAGTGAGCAACCAGCATGGGAGCTGTGTGACCGTCATGCCTGTCCAGTGCCTGGCCCACAGTAGGGTTCAGTAGCAGCATCAGGGGTGACCACTGACACAGAACAAGTCCTTTGTGACCTAAGGTTCTGCTACTGACCGTGCCCCTGCCATCATCCAGACCTTAATTCAGCTCCTCACAGGCTTGGATCCTCCCTGCAAAGTCACCTCCCTGCCCTAGTGTGGCAGTCCCCCAGTCCATATTAATACCAAATTAGTACCAAAATCCCATATGAGTCAGCTCAGGCTACCATATCAAAACACCCAGACTGGAGCTTAAACCATGGACATTTATCTCTGGAGGCTGGAAGTTCAGGGTCAGGTTGATGGCAGGTTTGGTTCCTGGTGAGAACCTCCTCCTTCACTGTGTGTTCACACGTCCCTTCCTTGGTGGGAGGACACACAGGATGGGGCGGGGGTGGGGGCGGCCCTCTGGTGTCTCCTTCTAAGGGCGCTTAGTTCACTGGATCAGGACCTTGCCTTTGGTGCCTCCGGGGTAGTCTCGTCAATCTCAACGCCTTTGGAATCTGAAAGAAGTGAAAGCCTCTCAGTTGTGTCTGACTCTTTGTGACCCCATGGACTATAGAGTCCCTGGAATTCTCCAGGCCAGTATTCTCCAGTATTGTACTGGAGTGGGTAGCCTTTCCCTTCTCCAGAGGATCTTCCCAACCCAGGGATCGAACCAAGGTCTCCTGCATTGTAGGCGGATTCTTTACCAGCTGAGCCACAAGGGAAGCCCTTGGAATCTGAAGAACCTCTCTTAAGTCGTGAGACCAGATGTATTGGCATGTGGCTCTCAGGAAGGGACCAACCCATGACAGCTTCTCTGTGTCCCCCTGACCCCCCGCCACCTCCACGACTGCCTCACCTGCCCAAGGGCGGGGCAGAGAAGGATCTCCCCCCACTCTCAGCTCCACGTCCCTTGTCTCCTTTTCTGGTGGAGGTTACATGACTTACTCTGTGCCAGAGTTTCCTTATCTCTAAGCTGGAGATAATGATAAGACCCAATAGGGTTGAAAAGTAAATTAACTGAAATACTGGGTTGGTCAAAAAGTTCGTTCAAGCTTTTCAGTATCCTCTTATGGAAAAACTCAAATGAGCTTTCTGACCAATCCAGTATTTCATGCATCCAGGCCAAGGTGAAGCACCAACCAAGGTCAGCTGGCTGTGAAGGTCGTCACCAGCATTGTCATCCTCATGTTGAGTGAGTGAGTGAAGTTGCTCAGTCGTGTCCAACTCTTTGCGATCCCAAGGACTATAGGCAAACAGGCTCCTCCATCCAAGGGATTTTTCAGGCAAGAGTACTGGAGTGGGTTGCCATTTCCTTCTCCAGGGGATCTTTGCGACCCGGGGATCGAATCCGGGTCTCCCGCATTGTAGGCAGATATTTTTACCATCTGAGCCACCAGGGAAGCCATCCTTATGTTAAGACCCGTCTAACAGCTCTGCCCGCAGACCTCTTCCCTCCCCAGAGCCCCACTTCATTTCCATCTGCTCTGTGGGGACTTGTAGACCCCAAGTGTCCAACTCAAGCTCATCTCGAGCTGAGCCCTGCTCCTCTCGCTTCTGCTCTGGCCCAGGCTGCCACGTCCTGGCTGCCTGGCTGAGTGCATGTCCCCTTCTTCCATGCAACCACCCAACCTGTAAACCCAAGTGACCCCCCAGGCCCCGTTTTGCCCTGGGGTCACTGTCCCTGTGTTCTGTTAAGCTGACCTCCTGCCTCCACTCGCAGGACTTGGGTCCCCAAGCTTTACCTTCTCTCCTGCAAACCCTGAGACGACTTCTCAGGACACGGGTGTGCTTGCCGGGCTATGTGGCCCCTGGAGGCTTGTGTCCGGACCTGCTTTGCTGAGCTTTCAGCTCTGCTGTTGGGGTCGGAGGGACGCGTGTCCAACTCCCGGCATGCACGAGGGGCTCAGTAAACAGGCTCGGAGTCTTGATTGCCGCAGGAGAAGGTGCAGACGTGACCTGACCCCTCTCCGTCCACACCCCCGGCACATCAGCTTGACCCGGGGATTCCCCGTGCCCAGAAAGTGATGTTGGCCAGTCCACCTGGTCGACACCCAGCCCCCTCCTTCACTGGCCACGTGGCAAACTCTCTGGCCCCCTTAGGACCTGCATGAACACAGGGTCTCCTCAAAGCCCTCCGGGGCCCCCACCCCCCAGAGCAGGAGGCAGGTGCTGGCTCTCCCCTCCTCCCACAGTCCTGCCCTCCTCACGTCACACATCTCACTGGGGTATCAGGTTAGACCAGCGTCCCCAGGAGACCGAGGGTGAGCGGGCTGTGGCCTGCTGACCCCAGCACGGTAGCGAGCTGGCCTTTGGGCATGGTGACTGAATGTCAAGGGACGGTGACCAGTCCCTCTGCATCTGCATGAGGGTAGACTGGGAAAGGCTCGCATCCACATGATCTGGGTTGAGAATCCAGGTCCTTCTTGCTGGCTTTGAGGAATTCGGGGGCCCCCTTAGCATGTCATACACTGAAAGGGTGACCGACTGGGGTGTAACCTGCAGCTGGCCCCCAGGTAGCACCTTAGAGGAGTGTGGGCCCTCACCTGAGCAGAGTGGGCCCTCGAGATACTGCCCCCTCTGTGCCCCCACTTCTCAGGTAAGGAGACTGAGGTGCAAACAGGTTGGTTACTAACATGTTTCGGTGCCCCACCGCCCCCAGCACTGACCTCCAAACCCCTTCCTCTGCCCTCAGCTCGTTAGAGACAATCGCAAACACCCTGGGCATGCAAGGTTTAGTTTGCTTTTGAAGAAAGTTAGGGAAAGCAGGAAATTTGTTGAAAAGATACTGATCGGTTCTTCTGACTGTAGACTTTATACAGAGATACCCTGATAAAAGCACGTCTGTGCCAAGTGGTGAAAACCACATATGCGAACACTAGTATTTTGCTAACGTTGAAAATGCCTTTGTTAAAGCAGACGTATGTGGCGCTGGCCTGTCTAGTGCTGGGCATGGGAGGCAGAAAGATTGCTCATCTGCTGGGCAGCTGGCACCCATGACAGGCTGTGTGGTTTGTGGGGGGTGGCTTGAGGCTCTCTGGCATGCCTTTGGGGTACTTCAAGCCAATAACTCAGCAGCGGGCATGGCTGAACCTACTGGAAAGGGTGAGGAATTCTCCCAGTGTCTGAGTTTCTCCTGACCTGGGGTCCATCTCCTGGGAAGGCAGGGCCTCTCACGCAGGGCTCTGGGGTAGCTGTCTGGGTTTGAGTTTGGGCCCAGGAGCCCACCCTTACAGCATCCTGGGGACTGTGGTGGGCTTTTCTGAGGGGCTTAGGAGCTGCCTGCAGGCCTGGCTGGTGGCTGGCCTGGCCTCTGCTCTCCCAGAGAGGAGGGAGCCCCGAGTCTGCCCTTCAGTTTCTCTAATTCCTTGGTTTAAGTGGGGACATTGGCCCGGGCATGGTGCCTGGGTCTCGGGAGAGATGGGAAGCCCGCTGTCTGCTGAGATGTGTCTGTCTCTTGCAGTTGACCTAACGTCCTTTGTGACCCACTTTGAATGGGACATGGCCAAGTATCCTGCAAAGCAGCCGCTGGTGAGCGTGGTGGACACTCTGGCAAAGGTACGAGGAGGATCTGCTCTCCAGCTGGGTTACCCTCCTGTGACCCTGACCATCTGGGGACATTGGGGTGAAGCTACATGGCCTTCGGACCCCGGCAAAGCAGGGAGGCACTTCCCAGGATGCCAGAGGCGGGAGGCGGGGTGGGGTTCAGGGCTCCCTGGAAACAGGCTGATGACCACCTGCCCCCCATACCTCTTCCAGAGTTACTTGCTCAGTCACGTCTGACTCTTTGTGACCCCATGGACTGTTGCCCGCCAGGCCCCTCTGTCCATGGGATTCTCCAGGCAAGAACACTGGAGTGGGTTGCCATTCCCTTCTCCAGGGGATCTTCCCAACCCAGGGATTGAACCTGGGTCTCCTGCATTGCGGACAGATTCTTTACCATCTCAACCACCAGGGAAGCCATATATACCTCTTCTAAAGCGAAAGTCGCTTAGTCGTGTCTCTTTGCGACACCATGGACTATACAGTCCATGGAATTCTCCAGGCCAGAATACCTCTTCCAAAGCTACCACTCGACAGGGTGGCTTCATCTTACAGGACACTCCCCTCCAGGGGCACTCTGAGCCCCCAGTGTTCTGACCCCAGACCCTGGAGTCTGTTCACTGCGCCCCCCTTTGAAAGATGCTGATGGAGAAGTCAGCCCCTTCCTGACATCCCTACCGCCAGGGTGATTGTTGACTTAACAAAAATTATCAGCTTCAGTGGAGAATTGGGCTTAGGAGCCCAAACTCCTGCAAGGCATCGCCCAGCGTGCCACCCCTGATGACACCGGGAAGCCGGTAAGCCCTGGCCTCATGATTCAGCCCTCTCGGTGAGCCATTGTCTCCAACTTCTGCTCCATGAATGAAAGTATCAAGGTGGAACCCTCTGGGGACATCAAGGGTGTCTCCTGGCGTGTTGACTCCTGTCGCCTCCCTGAGGGGGGGCACTGATGAACATTCTGAGATTTAGCCCGATGGTTTATGACCACTGTCCCACCTCGCTCCACGACACACGGAGCCCCTTATATGTCTCCTGAGGCCCACCAGGTGTGGCTGGGCGGGTCGGGTGTAGGAGATGGGTCTCAGGATCCACCCCTCTGTGGGTCTGCTGCTGGCAGGCTGGTGCTCCAGCCGGTGTCTCTGGGAACGAGGGCAGGGCCCGAAGTCTCTGGAATCTGGGTGCGGCTCATTGGGCAGCCCTTACATCACAGAGGCCCCAGCCCGTCCTGGGACAGTTGGGCAGTGATTCTAAAAGGCCCTTCAAGGAGGAGCTCTGAGAGCACCCGTGCCAGGTATGGCATCCTGGGGGACATTGTGCACCTCCACCCCCAAGCTGGAAGCACGCGCTGGTGTTCAGGGCTGGTCACTCCCTGCCCTGCCGCTGCTGAGGCCAGGCCGAGCCAGGCAGCATGGCCAGAGCTGTGCTTGTCGTCAACTGGGGATGACGCTCGCTGGCATGGCTGTCCCGGGGACACAGGCAGTGATGAGGGCTCCCGGAGCACATCGGGGCATCAGCTGATTGGGGAGCTGTTGTAGAGGACAGAACCTAGCCTCTCTCTCTCTCCCCTGGGGGGCCCAGAGAGTGACCATGGCAGAAAAGCAGGGTGGGGAGGCAAGCCCTGGTTTGAAAGCACTTGCTATATGCGTAGAACTTTTACTTCTCACACACCCTCATGGGCAGGTATCACCTTCCCTGATTTCAGGTGGGGAGGTTGGCTTAGAGGTGGCATGGCATCCCCTGGGCCCTGCAGGGGCTGAAGTAGTGCCCTAGGAGGGGGATGAAGGTCTCAGGTGTGCACCTGGCACTGCTTCCCGAGGCAGCCCTGAGATAGCTCCACTGACGGGCAGAGGGTCTGGGTATCAGCTTCCTCACCCTGTGTCTGCCCCAGGAGTACTGGAGTGATGCCCTCGGCACTGGCTCAGGCCTGTTCCCCCAGTGGGAAATGCAAATCAGTTAACTAGAGATATCCTGGTCAGAGAAACTCCCTTCTAAAATGACCAGTGTCTTCTGGGTGTCCAAGCAGGTCTCCCCACCCGGGAGGTGCCCCATGCTGACATGGGCAGGGCTGGGCCCCCAACCCTCCCGACAGCTGGAAACTGAGCGCACCTGCTGCATTAATGAAAAGGAGCAAGGATGGGGGCCCAGCCCATGCCTGCGTCCATCTCTGTGGGCTGGGTCACACTGAAGTTCTTAAAAGCCCTCTGGACCTTTACCGGCCTACAGTAAATAGCCAAGTTTCTTTCTTTGCCGTATGCGTGTCCACAGTGGTTAGTGGGGGCCTGCTCCTTGTCCACTCACTCAGGGCGCTGGCCCCCGGTACCTCCACCACCTGAAGCATCCCTATGCAGGGAGGTACATGGGGTCTCAAGGCTCTGCTTGGCACACATGCTTCGGTGGTGGGGAGTGCATGCCAGCCAGAGGCCAGAAGGAGCAAAGCTGGGAGTGTTTGGTCCTGGACACATTCTCGAAGCACCGCCAAGTGCCGGCCACTCTGTCCAGAATTGCAGAGTTGACCCAGATGCAGGCCCACCCTCGAGGGGCTCAGTCTGCTGGAGAAAGGACTCGCCTTCCTGGGTAACCTGCTCCATGGCACTGAGCTCAGAGAGGTTCAGCTGACACCAGGTCATACAGCCAGAGCAGGTGGGCACCTGAGGCCAGGCACCTGGGGAACTGGGTCTTGGCCTCAGTGATCTCATTTCCCTGCCCATTGAAGAGGGGAACTCGGATGCGCTCCTGAAACTTCCAGAACAAGGGACATCTCCCTATGGTCAGACTGGTGACCTCTCTCCAAACTGAGAAGAGCCTTCTTCCCTGTGCAGAGCATGAAGGGGCTACCTGGGGCACAGCTGAGCCTGGAAACCTGGGCGCTGGTCACGGCTCGGCCACAGTGGGTGCTTAGAGGGGCCAAGGTGAGGGTCAGACAGAATTGACCTCCAACAGAGCCTGAGGAACACAAGCCTCTTATCCTTCTCCATCAGAGGGCAGAAAGAATGACTACCACAATCACAGAAAACTAACCAAACTGATCACGTAGATCACACCCGTGTCTAACTCAATGAAACGCTAGGAGCCATGCCGTGCAGGGCCACCCAAGACGGACAAGTCATGGTGGAGAATTCTGACAAAACATGGTCCACTGGAGAAGGGAATGGCAAACCACTTCAGTATTCTTGCCTGGAGAACCCCATGAATAGTATGAAAAGGCAAAAAGATAGGACACTGAAAGATGAACTCCCCAGGTCGATAGGTGCCCAATATGCTACTGGAGATCAGTGGAGAAATAACTCCAGAAAGAATGAAGAAACGGACCCAAAGCAAAAACAACACCCCGTTGTGGATGTGACTGGTGATATGAGTAAGGTCCAATCCTATAAAGAACAATATTGCATAGGAACCTGGAATGTTAGGTCCATGAATCAAGGTATTTAGAAGTGGTCAAACAGGAGATGGCAAGCGTGAGCACTGACATTTTAGGAATCAGTGAACTAAAATGGACTGGAATGGGTGAATTTAACTCAGATGACCATTATATCTACTACTGTGGACAGGAATCCCTTAGAAGAAATGGAGTAGCCCTCATAGTCAACAAAAGAGTCCAAAATGCAGTACTTGGGTGCAATCTAAAAAATGACAGAATGATCTCTGTTCATTTCCAAGGCAAACCATTCAATGTCACAGTAATTCAAGTTTATGCCCCAACCACCAATGCCGAAGAAGCTGAAGTTGAATGGTTCTATGAAGTCATACAAGACCTTCTAGAACTAACACAGAAAAAAAGATATCCTTTTCATCATAGGGGACTGGAATGCAAAAGTAGTAAGTCAAGAGATACCTGGAGTAACAGGCAAATTTGGCCTTGGAGTACAGAATGAAGCAGGGCAAATGCTAATAGAGTTTTGCCAAGAGAACTCACTGGTCATAACAAACACCCTCTTCCAACAACACAAGAGATGACTCTACACATGGACATCACCAGATGGTCGACACCGAAATCAGATTGATTATATTTTTTGCAGCCGAAGATGGAGAGGTGCTATACAGTCAGCAAAAACAAGACCGGGAGCTGACTGTGGTTCAGATCATGAACTTCTTATTGAAATTTAGACTGAAATTGAAGAAAGTAGGGAAAACCACTAGACCATTCAGGTATGACCTAAATCAAATCCCTTACGATTATACAGTGGAAGTGACAAATAGATTCAAGGGATTAGATCTGATAGAGTGGCTGAAGAACTATGGATGGAGGTTCATGACATTGTACAGGAGGTGGTGATTAAAATCATCTCCGAGAAAAAGAAATGCAAAAAGGCAAAATGGTTGTCTGAGGAGGCCTTACAAATAGCTGAGAAAAGAAGAGAAGCTAAAGGCAAAGGAGAAAAGGAAAGATATCCATCTGAATTCAGAGGTCCAAAGAATAGCAAGGAGAGATAAGAAAGCCTTCCTAATGATCAATGCAAAGAAATAGAGGAAAACAATAGGATGGAAAAGACTAGAGATCTCTTCAAGAAAATTAGAGATTCCAAGGGAACATTTCATACAAAGATGGGCTCGATAAAAGACAGAAACGGTATAGACCTAACAGAAGCAGAAGATACTAAGAAGAGGTGGCAAGAATACTCAGAAGAACTATACAAAAAAGATCTTCATGACCCAGATAACCATAAAGCTGTGATCACTCACCCAGAGCCAGATATCCTGGAATGTGAAGTCAAGTGGGCCTTAAGAAGCATCACTACGAACAAAGCTAGTGGAGGTGTTAGGATTCCAGTTGAGCTGTTTCAAATCCTAAAAGATGATGCTGTGAAAGTGCTATACTCAGTATGCCAGCAAATTTGGAAAACTCAGCAGTGGCCACAGGACTAGAAAAGGTCAGTTTTCATTCCAATCCCTAAGAAAGGCAATGCCAAAGAATGTTCAAACTACCGCACAATTGCACTCATCTCACATGCTAGCAAAGTAATGCTCAAAATTTTCCAAGCCAGGCTTCAACAGTACGTGAACCGAGAACTTCCAGATGTTCAAGATGGATTTAGAAAAGGCAGAGGAACCAGAGGTCAAATTGCCAACATCCATTGCATCATCAAAAAAACAAGAGAGTTCCAGAAAAACATATACCTCTGCTTCATTGACTACATCAAAGCCTTTGACTGTGTGGATCACAAGAAACTGGAAACTTCTGAAAGAGATTGGAATACCAGACCACCTTACCTGCCTCCTGAGAAACCTGTCAAGAAGCAATGGTTGGAACTGGACATGGAACAACAGACTGGTTCCACATTGGGAAAGGAGTTCATCAAGGCTGTATGTTGTCACCCTGCTTATTTAACTTATATGCAGAGTACAGCATGCAAAATGCCAGGCTGGATGAAGCACAAGCTGGAATCAAGATTGCCGGAAGAAATATCAAATCACCTCAGATGTGCAGATGACACCATCCTTATGGCAGAAAGCAAACAAGAACTAAAGAGTCTCTTGATGAAAGTGAAAGAGGAAAGTGAAAAATCTGGCTTAAAACTCAACATTCAGAAAACTACGATCATGGCATCCAGTCCCATCACTTCATGGCAAATAGATCGGGAAGTAATGGAAATGGTGACAGACTTTATCTTCTTGGGCTCCAAAATCACTGCAGATATTGACTGCAGCTATGAAATTAAAAGATGCTTGCTCCTTGGAAGAAAAGCTCTGACCAACCTAGACAGCATAATAAAAAGCAGAGACATTACTTTGCTGACAAAGGTCCATCTCATCAAGGCTGTGGTTTTTCTAGTAGTCATGTATGAATGTGAGAGTTGGACCCTAAAGAAAGCTGAGTGCTGAAGAATTGATGCTTTTGAACTGTGGTGTTGGAGAAGACTCTTGAGAGTCCCTTGGACTGCAAGGAGATCCAACCAGTCCATCCTAAAGGAAATCGGTCCTGAATATTCATTGGAAGGACTGATGCTGAAGCTGAAACTCCAGTACTTTGGCCACCTGATGCAAAGAACTGACTCATTTGAAAAGACCCTGCTGCTGGGAAAGATTGAAGGCAGGAGGAGAAGGGGACGACAGAGGATGAGATGATTAGATAGCATCACCAACTTGATCTACATGAGTTTCAGTAAGGTCCATGAGTTGATGGACAGGGAAGCCTGGCTTGCTGCAGTCCATGGGATGGCAGAGAGTCAGACACAACTGAGCAACTGAACTGACAGCCTGAGGGCATGTGGAGTGGGGACCGGGGGGTTGTGAGAGTACAAGATGGGCTCGAGATAAGAACAAGACTCCACTCACTGAGTGATCCTAGAAAAGCCATTTATATCTCAAGCCTCCTGTCTGCAACGTGGGGCTCTCTGTAGGGCCAGGATGCTGGCAGTCTGTGAAAGCAGAAGGGAGAAAAGTGTAAGCTTTTCCAGCAAATGGGCAGAGTGCAGTGTTTTTCCTTAACTGCCCCAGGAGCAATTTGCGGTGATTTTGAAAAGTTCGACCAACTTTTTAAATTCTCTTTTGCTTTTCCAACTAGCAACTGGCACAGATCGAGACAGACCTTAAGTCCCGAACAGCTGCCTACAACACTCTGAAGACAAACCTAGAGAACCTGGAGAAGAAATCCATGTGAGTATTCGGGCTCCGAGATCCTGGTGGCCTCAGGGCCTGGCTGAGTTGGGGTCCAAGCTGGGCTTATACATGCACGTTTGAGATCACTGGTCGAGCCAAGGTCTGTGTCTGTCTGTGTCTGAGCGGTCAGGCCAGAGGCACTGCTGCGTGTTCACGGGCTATGTGCTGGGTGGGGAGGTCAGCAGTGGCAGTGGTTGATCCTTTGAGCACATACACTGAGTGAAGGAGATGAGGGTGAAGCGGGTCAGTGTCTGCCTCCCTCTTCTGTTCATTCTTTCGAGCAATGGGGTGTTTTTTTGGCCACACCTTGCATCTTGTGGGATCTTAGTTCCCTGGCTAGGGACTGAACCCAGGCCACTCCAGTGAAAGTGCAGAGTCCTAACCACTGGAACCACCAGTTTGAGCAAACTCCAAGAGATAGTGAAGGACCGGGAAGCTTGGAGTGCTTCAGTTCATGGGGTCACAAACAGTCGGACACAACTGAGCAGCTGAACAACTATGCACTGATACTACAGAGAATCTCAAGAACTATAATTTTGGCCCAATTGCTGGTACAACACCCTTGGTCCCTGTTCTAGAAAATACCATGACCTCAATAAGACTAGGCTCCACTGGACACACATGCAAAGCTGTTTCAGGTGAATGCCTCCTGGCTGCTGGAACGACAAGGCTTGTAATGTGAAACGGAGCCCTCACTGGGGCTGTGTTTGCCCAGCATAGCCCAGGTGGCATCTTGAGCCAGCCACTGTGTGGCCACTTGTGTAACTTAAGCTGCCTGCCACCAGCGATCCCCTCCTAACAGCCGGTGGCCTGTGCCAGGGCAGCACAGGCAGCCAAAGTGTTGAATTCAGCTCTGGCAACTGGTGATAGCACCTGGGGTCCTGCCAGTTACTGCAGTTCTGGCCGCCCAGACACAGCCGAGGGACACTTGGCCCAGGGTCCCCGCCCCTCCCTGGGAAGTGTCCTAGGCCTTCCTGTCCCCCGCTGCCCTGGGTGTTATGGGTGTGCCCAGGGGTGCCTCCATGTGCCTTTCTGCTGACCCCACCTCTTTGTCGCCCGTGAATCCAGGGGAAACCTCTTCACTCGGACCCTGAGCGACATTGTGAGCAAAGAAGACTTCGTTCTGGATTCCGAGTACCTGATCACGCTGTTGGTCATTGTCCCCAAGTAAGCGGGCCAGGGGGAGAGGGGAGTTGGGGGTTTCTGGCTGGGTTGGCGATCACAGAGGAAATCATCCTGCTCAGTGGAGAGGAAGGGAGAGCCCACCACGGCCAGATCCCGGGGCCCTAAATGGCAGCTGTGGAGTTGGTTTCAGGAGCAGATGATAGAGCTTGTGGCAGTCACAGTGACAGGAGCGGCCATTTCCCAGACATCCATCCACTGTTGTCAGATGCCATACACAGGAGGCATCTCACACACGCCTGGGGGCTGTTACTGTTCCCTTGTCCCGGGGCCAGAGAGCTCAGCTGGCCTGCCCAAGGTCACACAGGCCTGGGATTAGAGCTCCCAGTCTCCAGAGTCCTTCCCATGGGTCCCTCCCTGCTGCCTGGGGCCTCGTGGGGAGGTGAGTATTCCAATGCCCATGGCAGGGCCTCGGGGGATGTTTGGGGCGCTGTCTGGCCCTCAGCCCTGCTCCCCCTTGTCCCTCAGGGAAAAGGGCACTCAGTTTCATAGACATTTAGGACACCTCACAACCTTTTCTGCAAAAATCATTGAACAATTCTGTACTCTTGCAGACCAAGTTACGTACAATGGCAAAAAACCTACGAATCCCTCTCAGACATGGTCGTCCCACGGTCAACCAAGTAAGTGAGGCCTCAGGTCCTGGGTTTGGGGGGCCATGTATGGGCACTCTGAGACACCCAGCCACCAAACATACCCCAGAAGTGCAAGGGCCCTCAGCCATCCACACACATGCGTTCACGGCCACACACTCAGCCACAGGCCAGACTCCCTCCATCTTTCAGAAGTCTGCTCCCTTGCTGTCTCCTCCAGGAAGCCCTCCCTGACTACCTTCTGGCCCTCAGCACTTGCAAGGCCTGTGCAGCACTCTGTTCTGCATGCTCATCTTGGCCTGGATTCTTCCCCACCTGAGGGTCAAGCAAGGGCCTGGCTGTGATGGCCGCAGAGCACGAGCAGGGAAGGAAGAGTCTTAGCATGTGGCCTGCTGGGGTCAGAGCAGGAGCGGCCAGTGAGGGCTGGAAAAGTGACTTAGAAGGGATGGAGGAACATATTCAACCCATGAGTGCCACCCAGTGGGGAAAACCAATGATTTAGCGCTGCAGGCAGGAGCAGGCAGAGATCTCACTGCACGATGTGAAGTGGAGAGAAAGTTGTAGAAGGGGACACACAGCACGAAGACATTTATTATTTAAGATCTCCAAATGGACAGAACCAGACGGTATGTGCCTTGAGAGATGCAGGTGCACGGATCACCGGGTATTTGAGGATGAGAAATGCCGAACAGCACAGCGGTGACCTGGGGTGGGCAGCAGGATTCGGTTGGGAGGGCACGTGAGTCTTCAATTGTATGAAAATTGTTCTATGTCTTAAGCTTGATGGGGGAGGATATCCATGGATATTTGTCATTGATATTGATATCCAAATATCCATGGATATTTGTCATTCTCTCTACCTTTCCCTGTGTCTGAAATAGCTTGTCATTTGACATGATTTGACAGTGAGTCTTGTGGCTCAGACGGTAAAGAATCCAACTGTGGTACAGGAGACCCAGGTTCGATCCCTGCGTTGGGAAGATCCCCTGGAGAAGGGAATGGCAACCCACTCTAGTACTGTTGCTTGGAGAATCCCAGGGCCAGAGAAGCCTGGCGGGCTGCAGTTCATGGGGTCGCAAAGTGTCAGATGAGACTGAGCGACTAACACACACACACACTTGGGCGCACACGGAGCTCAGCATGGGGGCAGCCCTGCCCACCCCCATCCCAGCCCAGAGGCCTCTGGCCTGGGACCTGCTGCAGGCTGGCTCTCCCTGGCTCCCAGGCTCTCAAGCGATAGCAATCAAGAACTAAACTGAAGGGTGCAGGGAACAGGACAGTCACAGCCTGAGGTCACAAGGGGAGGCTGGAGGAGTGAGCCGGGGGCAGTGTACCCGCAGGAGGTGGAGGAGGGGGTGCAGGCTGGCAGAGGAACTGCCTGCAAAGCTGGCCTGCTGGGCCGGAATGTTCACTTTTCTCCAGGGCTGGCTGTCCGTGGCCACATGAAGGGAGAGGCTGCTACTGGAGGTGGCTTGGCTTCTCAGATTAGAACCCCCAGGCCCTTCATTGTCAGGGGGTACCTGTGAGCCTGCTGAGATGACTGTGAAAAGGTTCCTGGAACCTGGGTCAGCCCTGATGGGTGGCTTGGAGAAGCAGGAAAGGTGACCTGAAACCCTGCCCAGACCCATGGGCGCCCATGGTCAGGTCATGTGGTCAGCAGGATGCCAAGGCCCTTAGAGCAGGGGTCCCAGTGACCACAGCACTCCTACGTCAGGGTATGCCAGAGAGGCCGTGTCTAATTAGAGCAGTGTGACACTGGACGTGAAATGCCCATTGCGGGATGGTTTTTACCAATGGGAACTCTGCCCTGCTTCATTGCACCGTGGCATTCGAGAGCTGGGCACTTGCTATGCATGCCAGGTGATTGAGATCCACGGTCAGCTGGCTCTTGGCCGGTTCATGTCTGGACCACCAGCCCAGATCTGCGTAAGAATTCAGCGTTTTCCTCCAGGGCCTGTGTTCAGATCAGCCGCAGGCCCCTACAGCTCTAGCTTGGAGGGTGAGTGAAAGGAGCCGGAGTTAGGCTGCTGACAACACTCTGCCTGGAGTTAGGACACAGGAAGGGTTGTCCTTCGTCTGGTGCCCTCGCTCCTTCCAGGGCCGCTGCTCCTGGACCACCGGGCTCCCCCTGGCAGCCACCTACCGCCCCCAGGGAGATGATGGGCTCTTTCCGGGCCAGCTCAGGGGCCTGGTGGTGCATCCAGTGAACAAGACCTTCTCTCCAACAGGTTGATCGCTGAGGACAAGGAGGGCGGCCTCTTCACCGTGACTCTGTTTCGAAAAGTGATCGATGATTTCAAAACCAAAGCCAAAGAGAATAAGTAAGGGCCAGCCTTGGTGGGTTTTCCCCGAGTTTGGTTCTTCTGCCCTTGGAGGGGTGATTTCTGGCCCGACTGGAAGCTTCTTAGCCACAGCCACTCTGCTTGTTTTAAGGTTCACTGTACGAGAATTTTACTATGATGAAAAAGAAATTAAAAGGGAAAGGGAAGAGATGACCCGATTGCTGTCGGATAAGAAGCAACAATATGTGAGTATATGATACTGGCCGGGAGGGTCCTCAGGAAGGTTCTGGGTGGTCCCCACCCCACCACAACCCCACCCTACCTCCCACCCCTGCAGCACAGGCCTGCAGCAGAAGGGCCCCGCCCAGTCCCCCCCACCCAGTGCCCTTCATCCCCCTCCCCCTGGTGCACACCCCCAGGGATGTGTCCTGAGGGGCTGCTGGGGCAGGTCTGGGGGACAGTGACAAGCAGGGTAACCCGGAGGTGGCACACGAGCCCTGCAGCAGGAGATCTCACCGAGCCAGGCCCTGCCCTCTGGGAAGGGACTCCGGGCTCCGATCTGGGGATGAGAAAGTGAGGCTCTGAGAGGCCCGCGAGCGCCCTGGGAGAGAACCTCGCTAGCCCCCGGAGGGCGGGTGAGGCTCTTGGCACTTCAGGCAGCAGCACTTGTGCCAAGAGCGGCCACCACCTTGCAGAGTGCAGCCAGCAGTCACCCGAAGCCCTGGCCCGCGTGATCTCCAGGAGGGTCGTGACCAGTCACCAGCACCTGTATTTACCTCCCCCAGGCTTCTAGCAAAGAGTGGGTGCTTCTCCCAGAAACTTCCTACCGCTGCCACTCAGAACTTTCTCCTGTGTGAGGGCAGCTGAGCTCAAGGGGGGAGAAAAATAAGTTTTTTTTTTTTTGGTTGGAGGCTAATTACCTTACAACATTGCAGTGGTTTTTGTCATACATTGAAATGAATTAGCCATGGATTTACATGTATTCCCCATCCCGGTCCCCCCTCCCACTTCCCTCTCCACCCGATCCCTCTGGGTCTTCCCAGTGCACCAGGCCCGAGCACTTGTCTCATGCATCCAACCTGGGCTGGTGATCTGTTTCACCCTAGATAATATACATGTTTCGATGCTGTTCTCTTGAAACATCCCACCCTCGCCTTCTCCCACAGAGTCCACAAGTCTGTTCTATACATCTGTGTCTCTTTCTCTTTTGCATAAATTCCATATATATGTGTTAGTATACTGTAATGGTCTTTATCTTTCTGGCTTACTTCGCTCTGTATAATGGGCTCCAGTTTCATCCATCTCATTAGAACTGATTCAAATGAATTCTTTTTAATGGCTGAGTAATATTCCATGGTGTATATGTACCACAGCTTCCTCATCCATTCGTCTGCTGATGGGCATCTAGGTTGCTTCCATGTCCTGGCTATTATAAACAGTGCTGTGATGAACATTGGGGTGCACGTGTCTCTTTCAGATCTGGTTTCCTCAGTGTGTATGCCCAGAAGTGGGATTGCTGGGTCATATGGCAGTTCTATTTCCAGCTTTTTAAGAAATCTCCACACTGTTTTCCATAGTGGCTGTACTAATTTGCATTCCCACCAACAGTGTAAGAGGGTTCCCTTTTCTCCACACCCTCTCCAGCATTTATTGCTTGTAGACTTTTGGATAGCAGCCATCCTGACTGGCGTGTAATGGTACCTCATTGTGGTTTTGATTTGCATTTCTCTGATAATGAGTGATGTTGAGCATCTTTTCATGTGTTTTTTTGCCATCTGTATGTCTTCCTTGGAGAAATGTCTGTTTAGTTCTTTGGCCCATTTTTTGATTGGGTCATTTATTTTTCTGGAGTTGAGCTGGAGGAGTTGCTTGTATATTTTTGAGATTAATCCTTTGTCTGTTGCTTCATTTGCTATTATTTTCTCCCAATCTGAGGGCTGTCTTTTCACCTTGCTTATAGTTTCCTTTGTTGTGCAAAAACTTTTAAGTTTCATTAGGTCCCATTTGTTTATTTTTGCTTTTGTTTCTAAAATTCTGGGATGTGGGTCATAGAGGATCCTGCTGTGATTTATGTCGGAGAGTGTTTTGCCTATGTTCTCCTCTAGGAGTTTTATAGTTTCTGGTCTTACATTTAGATCTTTAATCCATTTTGAGTTTATTTTTGTGTATGGTGTTAGAAAGTGTTCTAGTTTCATTCTTTTACAGGTGGTTGACCAGTTTTCCCAGCACCACTTGTTAAAGAGGTTGTCTTTTTTCCGTTGTATATCCTTGCCTCCTTTGTCCAAGATAAGGTGACCATAAGTTCGTGGATTTATCTCTGGGCTTTCTATTCTGTTCCATTGATCTATGTTTCTGTCTTTGAGCCAGTACCATACTGTCTTGATGACTGTGGCTTTGTAGTAGAGTCTGAAGTCAGGCAGGTTGATTCCTCCAGTTCCATTCTTCTTTCTCAAGGTTACTTTGGCTATTTGAGGTTTTTTGTATTTCCATACAAATTGTGAAATTATTTGTTCTAGTTCTGTGAAAAATACCGTTGGTAGTTTGATAGGGATTGGAATCTATAGATTGCTTTGGGTAGTATAGCCATTTTGACAATATTGATTCTTCCAATCCATGAACACGGTATATTTCTCCATCTGTTTGTGTCCTCTTTGATTTCTTTCATCAGTGTTTTATAGTTTTCTATGTATAGGTCTTTTGTTTCTTTAGGTAGATATACTCCTAAGTATTTTATTCTTTTTGTTGCAATGGTGAATGGTATCGTTTCCTTAATTTCTCTTTCTGTTTTCTCATTGTTAGTGTATAGGAATGCAAGAGATTTCTGTGTGTTAATTTTATATCCTGCAACTTTACTGTATTCGTTGATTAGCTCTAGTAATTTTCTGGTAGAGTCTTTAGGGTTTTCTATGTAGAGGATCATGTCATCTGCAAACAGAGAGAGTTTCACTTCTTCTTTTCCTATTTGGATTCCTTTTACTTCTTTTTCTGCCCTGATTGCTGTGGCCAACACTTCCAAAACTATGTTGAATAGTAGTGGTGAGAGTGGGCACCCTTGTCTTGTTCCTGATTTCAGGGGAAATGCTTTCAATTTTTCACCATTGAGGGTGATGCTTGCTGTGGGTTTGTCATATATAGCTTTTATTATGTTGAGGTATGTTCCTTCTATTCCTGCTTTCTGGAGAGTTTTAATCATAAATGGATGTTGAATTTTGTCAAAGGCTTTTTCTGCATCTATTGAGATAATCATATGGTTTTTATCTTTCAATTTGTTAATGTGGTGTATTACATTGATTGATTTGCGGATATTAAAGAATCCTTGCATTCCTGGGATAAAGCCCACTTGGTCATGATGTATGATTTTTTTAATATGTTGTTGGATTCTGTTTGCTAGAATTTTGTTAAGGATTTTTGCATCTATGTTCATCAGTGATATTGGCCTGTAGTTTTCTTTTTTTGTGGCATCTTTGTCTGGTTTTGGAATTAGGGTGATGGTGGCCTCATAGAATGAGTTTGAAAGTTTACCTTCTTCTGCAATTTTCTGGAAGAGTTTGAGTAAGATAGGTGTTAGCTCTTCTCTAAATTTTTGGTAGAATTCAGCTGTGAAGCCATCTGGTCCTGGGCTTTTGTTTGATGGAAGATTTCTGATTACAGTTTCGATTTCCTTGCTTGTGATGGGTTTGTTAAGATCTTCTATTTCTTCCTGGTTCAGTTTTGGAAAGTTATACTTCTCTAAGGACTTGTCCATTTCTTCCAAGTTGTCCATTTTATTGGCATAGAGCTGCTGGTAGTAGTCTCTTATGATCCTTTGTATTTCAGTGTTGTCTGTTGTGATCTCTCCATTTTCATTTCTAATTTTGTTAATTTGGTTCTTCTCCCTTTGTTTCTTAATGAGTCTTGCTAATGGTTTGTCAATTTTGTTTATTTTTTCAAAAAACCAGCTTTTAGCTTTGTTGATTTTTGCTATGGTCTCTTTAGTTTCTTTTGCATTTATTTCTGCCCTAATTTTTAAGATTTCCTTTCTTCTACTAACCCTGGGGTTCTTCATTTCTTCCTTCTCTAGTTGCTTTAGGTGTAGAGTTAGGTTATTTATTTGACTTTTTTCTTGTTTCTTGAGGTAGGCCTGTAATGCTATGAATCTTCCCCTTAGCACTGCTTTTACAGTGTCCCATAGGTTTTGGGTTGTTGTGTTTTCATTTTCATTCATTTCTATGCATATTTTGATTTCTTTTTTGATTTCTTCTATGATTTGTTGGTTATTCAGAAGCATGTTGTTTAGCCTCCATATGTTTGAATTTTTAATAATTTTTTTCCTGTAATTGAGATCTAATCTTACTGCACTGTGGTCAGAAAAGATGACTGGAATGATTTCAATTTTTTTGAATTTACCAAGACTAGATTTATGGCCCAGGATGTGATCTATTCTGGAGAAGGTTCTGTGTGCACTTGAGAAAAAGGTGAAGTTGATTGTTTTGGGGTGAAACGTCCTATAGATGTCAATTAGGTCTAGCTGGTCCATTGTGTCCTTTAAAGTTTGTGTTTCCTTGTTCATTTTCTGTTTAGTTGATCTATCCATAGTTGTGAGTGGGGTATTAAAGTTTCCTAATATTATTGTGTTACTATTAATTTTCTCTTTCATACTTGTTAGCGCTTGCCTTACATATTGCGGTGCTCCTATGTTGGGTGCATATATATTTATAATTGTTATATCTTCTTCTTGGATTGATCCTTTGATCATTATGTAGTGTCCATCTTTGTCTCTTTTCACAGCCTTTATTTGAAAGTCTATTTCATCTGATATGAGTATTGCAACTCCTGCTTTCTTTTGGTCTCCATTTGCGTGGAATATTTTTTTCCAGCCCTTCGCTTTTAGTCTGTATGTGTCCCTTGTTTTGAGGTGGGTCTCTTGTAGACAGCATATATAGGGGTCTTGCTTTTGTATCCATTCAGCCAGCCTTTGTCTTTTGGTTGGGGCATTCAACCCATTTACATTTAAGGTAATTATTGATAGGTATGGTCCCGTTGCCATTTATTTTGTTGTTTGGGGTTCACGTTTATACCACCTTTCTGTGTTTCCTGTCTAGAGAAGATCCTTTAGTATTTGTTGAAGAGCTGGTTTGGTGGTGCTGAATTCTCTCAGCTTTTGCTTATCTGTAAAGCTTTTGAGTTCTCCTTCATATCTGAATGAGATCCTTGCTGGGTAGAGTAATCTAGGTTGTAGGTTATTCTCTTTCATTACTTGAAGTAT